TTACAGCAGCCCCATGGAAGATAACAAACCTTTTCTCTTCTTTCTGGAAAACACATACCTTCGGTGTGGTCAGTATGGCCAATGAATACTTTTCCTCAGTATCTCTCTCTTCAGTAAAGACAGATTCTGGTTATCTCAGGCCAGCTAGACCCATGACAATTTCACACAGGGCTCTTTTAGAGCATTTTGGCCAATGATGGTTTGGCCACACATCTGTTTTTGCCATAGACTGCTTATTTTTTTTATAAAGATTTTATTTATTTATTTGACAGAGAAAGAGGGACAGCTAGAGAGGGAACACAAGCAGGGGGAGCAGGAGAGGGAGAAGCAGGCTCCTGGCCGAGCAGGGAGCCCGATGCGGGACTCAATCCCAGGACCCTGGGCTCATGACCTGAGCAGAAGGCGGGCGCTTAGCGATTGAGCCACCCAGGCACCCCATAGACTGCTTTTTTTTTTTTTTAAGATTTTACTTTTTTATTTTAGAGAGAGAGACAGAGGGAGCAAGAACATGAACAGGGGAAGGGGCAGAGGGAGAAGGAGAGACTCTCAAGCAGACTCCATGCTGAGCTCAGGGACCTGCAGGGTGCTCAATCCCACAACCTTGAGATCATGACCTGAGCTGAAACCAAGAGTGTGACCTTAACGGACTGAGCCACCCAGGCACCCCTGCCATAGCTTGCCTATTGCTGAGGTGATTTCTGAATACATTTTATGGGCCCTAAAACGCTCAATGTCCCTAGGACGTCATATGGGAAGTAGTCACCCTCAATTCTACTGTAGTTTGCATATGCCAATGAGTTTCTCATAAGTACACACTGTGGCCATTGGGGCTGTTATTACTAAGCATATAGGCCCACATATCCTCTGACACTATTTGGCAAGTATTGTTTTCCTTGGTTCTTGTCTATCCACAAAGCAGGGGCTATAACCATTAAGGCACATGCTACTGCAAGCCAGACACACAGAGGATTTTATATCTAACGTATCTGGACACATTTTTCATTGGCTTCTCCCCTGGTTGGCAGCGAGCCTACTTCTCCCTCTCCCTCTGCAGGTCCCCTGCTTGTGCTCTCTCTTGCTCTCTCACTCTCTCTGTCAAATAAATAAATAAAATCTTCAAACTACAAACAAACAGAATCATCTGGATCAGAGGCATAGTAAAGACCAGCTTTAGTATCAAACTGGATCACCACCCATAACTCTTAGCTGTAGTAGCGTCTCTGTTGCCTTCACTTTCCTTAGAACAAAGAAAAGTAGCCAAGACTGTGTATTCTTGAACAACATTCCCTAAGGTTCAAAATCTTGTGACATTCATTTATTTTAATCTCCCCAGTCCTGCACCTACTGAATCTAGGTCCTATTTTTATACTTTCCCTCTCAAGCTTGTAGTTCTTGAACAACCACAAGCCAGAAATGGCCAGAAGCCATCCAGACAGCAACAGTGGTTCCTCACCCACCACCCCAGTACTGCCCATTTTTCTTTCTCCCCAATACTACCTTCTCATTATTATTTAAAGTAGAGTGGAGGATCGTATGAATTAACCTCTCTGTATCACAAACTGCAAAAATTTCACGTGTCTGGATAATTGAAAAGACAAGTGTTCAGAGCATCCAGATGTGAGGTTTTTCTTAAAAGGTCCTGGAGGGGATGGGGGTGGGGGAGGGGTTAAATGGGTGATGGGTATTAATGAGGGCACTTGTGATGAGCGCCGGATGTCCTATGTAAGTGACAAATCACTAAATTCTACACCTGAGACTGAAAAAGAGAGAGAGAGAGAGAGAGAGAGAGAAGCCTATGGGGAGGGGGGAATGTAAAGGACATACTGTAGCAAAATAAAGGGAGCATGGGTCACCCAGGCACAGCTTTGCAGAATCTTTATTTGTGCATGGATACAATTCATCTTCAAATGAAGGATAATTTGAGTCAGAATTCCCAGCAAGGATTTTATGCCCTTCTGCTAAAAGTCAAATTAGGATACCTAATCAATTATGCCATTTTGAAAACCGTCGGTAAACAAACTGGCCTTGGGTGCCCCCATGGGAGTTTTGGACTTTAAACAGCACATAATAAGTCCTGCCACCCTATCTCAACAAAGATATCCAGAGTTCCTAGACATAAGACTTAAGTCTTCCAGTCCAAGTAAATGAACTCTACCTTATGCAAAAAAATTACACAACACATTAAAATTTCTGAGATGTTGCTAACCAATTCTCTTTAGAGGAAGCTATTCTGCTAAAGGTTTTAGCTAGGGCAGTGAAGGAAGGAAAAGGGACACAAAGTAACTTCCGATCCAGGACGTGGAGGGAGAGCTTGAAGGGGCATCGGCTGCGCTATAAGGAAAAAGAGCTTGGTTTGCACCAAATCCGTGATGGAGGGCTGGGATGAGCTTTCCCAGGACTGCAGGGTTACCATTTTGCAGAACTGAGACCTTCAGCCAAGGTCGCCCTGCCCCACCCTGCTCAGCTCACACAGAGCTGGCACAGGCAAGGGTCGTGCCCCAAGCCCTCCCTCACCCAGACCCCGACCTGCGTGGTCCCTGTTGGAGGGAGGGTGGTTTCATGGGCTCTTCGCCTTCCTAGCTCCCACTTCTAGGTCTGGGGCCTTGAGGGCTCTCCTCAGCCTGGATTCTTGAATCCTGAATCCAGTCCAGGGCTTATATGATGAAGTCCACATTTCCGGCAACCAACACAATGTGAAGCCAAAGATTGTCCCTGGGATGGGAAGCAGTGTCTGCAAATGCTTGGAGATGAGGCTGAGTTGATAGTGTTCAGGGAATCACAAGTCCGCTTTATATCTGGTGGGAATGGGGAGGGCAGTGGGGGGCAGGATTCAGTGCTGGAACTACTGGCTGAGCAGTTCGGCCTCTGTTCTGAGGGTCTGGGGAGCCACAGATTTGGAACAGAAAAGAGAGGTGATCTGACTCATCATTAACAAGTCCTCTGGGGAATTCAGAGTGGAGAACCGGGGGGTACTCCGGTTGTGTGGGGGCGAGGAAGGAGAAAATTGCAGTAGTCTGGAACACTGCTGAAGGTGGCTGGACCAGAAGGGTGGCCATGGAAGTGGGGGAGGTGGTTGGATTCTAGATCTCTGGGAGCTGGATGACTGCAGGGTTTTGGCCTTAGCACCTGCAAGGATGGAAACACCATCAACTGAGATGGGGTCAGGGGTAGGATTCACTTTCTGGAGCAATACTCAACCAGTAGTATGAGGAAATGAAAGGTTACCTGGCCACAGGAACCAGTGTGTTCAGATGCTTAGCGATGACAATGAGTTGGGTGTTCGGGGAATGAACTGTAGGTCTCTATTATGTCTGCTGGGCACAGAAAACTGAGGGATGGGGGCAGAAGTCAGTCCTGGAATGGCAGCCTGAGGTGATCAGGAGACTCCAGGGGAAGCTACTACAACAGTCCAGGGGAGGGTTGATGGTAGCTGGATCATAGCAATGGCTTTGAAGTTGGGAGAAGAGGTTGGTTTCTCAATCTGTTTTTTTTTTTTTTTTAAGATTTTATTTATTTATTTGAGAGAGAGAGAATGAGAGACAGAGAGCATGAGAGGGAGGAGGGTCAGAGGGAGAAGCAGACTCCCTGCCGAGCAGGGAGCCCGATGCGGGACTCGATCCTGAGACTCCAGGATCATGACCTGAGCCGAAGGCAGTTGCTTAACCAACTGAGCCACCCAGGCGCCCCTCTCAATCTGTTTTATTAGCAGGGACAATTTTCTGCTATGTGGGATGAGAGAACAAAGTCAGTTATGACCCCAAGATGTTTGTCCTTAGCAGTTGAAGCGTGGAAGCACCGGGTACTGAGATGGAAAGTCAGTAGTGGGAGTACTTAACAGAAGCACCATAGGGAGTTAGGTTTTTCCCACGTTGGGTCTGAGATATTCCGGGGACCCCTGAGAGGAGGTGTCAGGTTGGCAGTTAGAAACACATGTGGAATTTAAAGGAGGGATTGAGGTTGACAATATCTGTGAGTAGGTAGGTGGCATATGGAATATGTCGTACTTCAGAGGAGGCCTCTTCAGGTTATGGTGGCAGTGCCATTAGGGGGAAGAATGGGGAGGGTATTCTCCAAGGACTGGGTGTCTTGCTTGGGCACCCGGATAGTGGTGGCAGTCTTCATTAACAGAAGCTGGAGAGTACTGACCATGGGTGTGTGGTAGTGAGAGGGGAGAGTGCCGGCTGCTAGCAGAGGCTTCCAAGGGGAAGTGGTTATGAGATCTGTTCAGAGTCAAGGCAATAATGGGAGTCAGATGATGCAGAGGCCAGGATTGGTGCTTTTTCTTCCATCTCCAGGCTCAGGTTTTTTTTTGTTGTTTTGTTGTTGTTGTTGTTGTTGTTGGATAACTCTTGGTGGAGCCAGAGGAATTTCAGACAAGCTGACAGATTAGTTTGGGAGCAAATGATACTTGCTGGGAGAGTCATTGGCATGTGATGGGAGCAGATGAGGCTGGACTTTGAATGAGTGTAGGTGGCGAGAAAAGATGTTAATTGGGGTAGGTATAGCACATGCAACACTGAAAAGGAAGAGGGGTTTAAGCTACCTGAGATCCATGGAAGGTCTGGATGGCTGAAGATGCAACAAGGAGCCAGGCCTGCTGAGGCAGGCCTCAGAGCAGCGCTGGGACTGCCTCTGGCAGGAGGGTCCATCAGAGGCCTGGGGTAGCCCCGGATGTGTTGCGTTTGGCAAGCACTGCCCGGGTGCCATGGGCAGAGTGGCTTGGGGGGAAGCCAGAGATGCCTGTGACATGGGCTAGAAAGTGGCTGTGGTGTTGGGGATCTAGCAGCCACGCTATGAAGGGAGAGCAGGTGCAGTCCCAAGAGTGATGTGCAAATGGGGACAGAGTACGAATGAATTACTCAGGGTCTTTGTCCTCAGCATTTGAGCAGAGGGTGAGCACAGTTTGGCTGTGTGTGGCACGATCTGAGGAACTCCAGGGCAGTTGACTGTCAGGAGAGTGGTGGCACTCTGTATGCCAGGTCTAGAAAGGAGATGACAACCTCTCTCCCCATCTGTTCCTACTGATGACTGGCAACAGGGAGGAGTCTGACACGAGGAAGAGTGGGTACCCGTGGAGCAGGACCTGCATCTCCTCTGAGTTGGGGAGCTGGGGAGGGGGGCCATGGCCCGGGGGTCTTGGTTAGAGAGGCGGCTTATGCATTGCTCTGCCCTCATCATGACAGGGCCATGTGACCTTTGAGGATGTGGCCGTGTACTTCTCCCGGGAGGAGTGGGGGCTCCTTGACGAGGCTCAGAGACAGCTGTACCGCACCGTGATGCTGGAGAACTTGGCACTGATGGCCTCCCTGGGTAAGGAGCCCCATTCCCACACCACTGCCTCATATGAGGCTCTGCTCTTCTCCTTTTTCCAAGGGTCTCTGTCCTTCCCAGAGCTGGGCCATGGGCATTGCTTCCTTTCCTGGTTTCTTGGCGTACGTGTTGTTTGCTGGGCCTGGGCTTTCTGAAACCCCAACATACTCTGCCTTGAAGCCTCTCGCAGAAGGGTTTGGTTTCTGAGTCTTGGACCTGCCTGATCAATTCTGAATAGCTTTGCCCCTCCTTACTTTGCTGACTGTTCCCATTTGTGGAAGATCTGTGTCACAGGTTCTGCCCCTTCTGTTTTGTGTACTGCCTGTCTCGGGAATTATAGACAACGACATGGTCAGCATTTGCAGGCTACCCTAAATTATTTTTGCAAGACTGTCCTCAAAATCTTCCTAGTAATGAACTTCTTTCCTGTAGTCTATCAGTGGTTGGGTCACTCTGGACCAGTGTCGTCCTCTTAACTGCCCTGTTTTCTCCTGAGGACTTCAATCTGCTAGGTCCCAGAAAATTGCCTAGGTTGAGCTGAGGGGTAGAGGAGAGCCCTGGGTGCCTGACAGCTCAGACACCTCTCCAACCATAGGAAGGGGGATTAGTGGAATCCTGGGCCTGGTGAGTAGGAGCAGCGGGAAGGCATGATTTCAAGACTGAGTATAAATCATACCAGGAAACCATCCTTTGCTCACTACTACGTAGAGCCAAGGCTCATGGCCATACCTCATTTCAGTCCTTCCTCCCCACCCTTGACATTTTGCCCGCTTGTCATTTCTGCTGTGACCTCTAGTCCCTGGCTCTCCCCTACATCTGTGTCCCTCACATCTTTCCCCTTTCTGTCTTTCTGCAACATTAGCCTCCATTCTGTGTGTCATGAGATATGTGCACACAGCCCTAAATGGTTGACCACCAGCTAAAAGGCAGTTGCTTTTTCCTGGAGTGAGACACACGTTCCACACAGCACACACTTGTCACCAGCAGACAAGGTCCTGCTGAGAACCCCGGCAGAGGAGTGAGCTGTACCAGACCTCTCTTGCCGGCACAGCACTGTATCCTACTTTCTTGCTAGGTGTGAGGCCCCCGTCCCCACAGACACTGTTCTGTAACCATCAGAGGTGGAGTGCTATACAGCGTCCCCTTCCTTCACCCGGTCCTGGCTCCTTTGTCCTGAAAACAAACCCGGGGACTCAGTCCTGTTTGTGTCCTACGCACATTTGTAATGGGCTGTCCTGTCCTGCCAAAGCCTATAATACACTTCACCAGCATTTTTCTGCTCTCAGGTTGTTGGCATGGGGTAAAAACTGAGGAAGCTTTTTCTGAGCAATGTGTTTTTATGGAAAGAGTGTCACAGACCAGGACTCCAGACCCGGGCCTGTCTGTCCCAAAGGCTCATTCCTGCAATGTGTGTATCCCAGCAGAGAAAGACGTCTTGTACCTTGCTGAGCACGAAGGAACATGTGCTGGACTGAAACCATGCACTTGTGGGCCTTGTGGAAAACTGTGCTCGTTTAGTTCTTTCTTACACCAGCACCAGAAGCAGAACCGTGGAGAGAAGGACCTTGGAAGGGAGGAGAATGGGGCTTTGTTCGTGAAGAGCAAAATCCTCATGTCAGACAATATTTTCACCTGTGGAGAGGTTGAGGATTATTCCCTGGGCAGCATGGGCCTTCTCCAGCACCAGGCCATGGCCAGCGGAGAGTATCCACACAGAGGCAGAGGGAGCAGGGCAGTTTCTCACACTCTGCGACGGCAGCGCAGCACGCGTGGGCAAGCCTGCCGCAAAAAGGTTAAATTCACGGAGCAGCAGAGTGCTTACACTGGAGAAAGCCTTCATAAGTGCAGCCAATGTGAAAAATCCTTCGTCTCCAAAAAAAGACTTCTTGAGCACCAGAGAATCCACACTGGAGGAAAGCCTCATGAGTGTAGCAAATGTGGGAAGTTCTTTAAGTACAAATCTAGTCTTAATCAACACTGGAAAGTTCACACTGGAGAAAGGCCTCATAAGTGCAGTGACTGCGGGAAGTCCTTCATCTATAAAAGCAGACTTCTTGAGCACCAGAGAATCCATACTAGAGAAAGGCCTTATAAGTGCAGTGACTGCGGGAAGTCTTTCATCTATAAAAAGAGACTTCTTGAGCACCAGAGAATCCACACTGGAGAAAGGCTTTATAAGTGCAGTGAATGTGGGAAGTCTTTCTTCTACAAAAGAATACTTCTAAGGCACCAGAGAATCCACACTGGAGGAAAGCCTCATGAGTGTAATGAATGTGGGAAATTCTTTAGACACAGACCCAGCCTTATTCATCACTGGAAAGTTCACTCTAGAGAAAGGCCTTATAAATGCAGTGAATGTGGGAAGTCCTTCATCCATAAAAGGAGACTTCTTGAGCACCAGAGAATCCACACTGGAGAAAGGCCTTATAAATGCAGCGAATGTGAAAAGTCCTTCTTCTACAAAAGAATACTCCTTGAGCACCAGAGAATCCATACTGGAGAAAAGCCTTATGAGTGTAACGAATGTGGGAAGTTCTTGAGACACAAATCTAGCCTTAATCATCACTGGAAAGTTCACACTGGAGAAAGGCCTCATAAGTGCAGTGAATGTGGGAAGTCCTTTATCCATAAAAAGAGACTTCTTGAACACCAGAGAATCCACACTGGAGAAAGACTTTATAAATGCAGCACATGTGAAAAGTCCTTTGTCTACAAAAGCAGACTTCTTGAGCATCAGAGAATTCACACTGGAGAAAAGCCTTATGAGTGCAGCCAATGTGGGAAGTTCTTCAGACACAGCTCCACCCTCCTTAAACACCAGAAAGTTCACACTGGAGAAGGCCGTCTCAGCATGGTAAATGTGGAAATCTTTCATCCGCAAAAAAAGATTTCTTTTGCACCAGAGAATCCACATCAGAGAAAAGTTTTATGAATGCAGCAAATGTGGGTAAACCTTCATAAAAAGGTTTGAATTCAATGAGCACCAGAGAGTTCACCCTGGAGAAAAGCCATATGAATGTAATGAATGTGGGAAATTCTTTAGACAGTGATCATTGATCCACTCACCTTCAACACCAAAAAGTTCATGCTGGAGAGAGGCCTTGAATATGTGTAATGGATGTGGGATGTCCTCCATTTACAAAAGAAATCTTGAGCACAGAGAATCCAAACTGGAGGAAGAACCTTTGAGTATAATGAATGTGGGAAAGCCTTCAGCCTCAAGGATAGACTTGTTCAGCACCACAAAGTCCACACTGGAGAAAAGGCTTTTTGTACAGCAAATGTGGAAAGTATTTCAGTGGAAGATACTGCTTTATCAGGCACCAGAAAGTTCACAGTAGAGAAAGTTCTTAGTGTAGTAGACAAACATCTTGTTGTTTAAGCCACGTTGAAATTTGGAAGTTATGTGCACTTTGGGGGTAGGTTTAGGATAGAATTGTGGTTTGCCAGTGTGAAGGGGTGAACAGCTTTTGTGAGTCACAGTGTCATGTCAGAGGCACAGTACAAGTCAAAAAATACTTCTTTTTTGTTTAAGATTTTATTTATTTATTTGACAGAGACACAGCGAAAGAGGGAACACAAGCAGGGGGAGTGGCTTATAAGCGCAGCCAATGGGGGAAACAGGGTTCCCGCTGAGCAGGGAGCCCTATGTGGGGCTCGATCCCAGGACCCTGGGATCATGACCTGAGCCGAAGGCAGACGCTTAACGACTGAGCCACCCAGGTGCCCCAAGTCAGAAAATATTTCTTCGTCCTATTTTGGCTTCATTTGCATTGCTTCCAAAGGCATCCTGGGAAAGACTGCAGGACTTTGTAATTAGTATGTAGCAGTGCATTCCTGAGTCACAGTGTAGGTGAATGTCTAACTTACTAAGGGATAATCTAATATGTTGGTATCAGTTTACATTCTCACCAGAAAAACCAGGACCAGAGTTCCAGTTTCTTTATATCCTTACTCACACCTGGTATGGTCAGGCTTCCTAATTTCAGTGGTGTAATAGGTGTGTAATGGCACCTTGTGATTTTAATTTGTATTTCCCTAATGATGTGATGTTTAGATGTTTTTCATGTGTTAATTTCTAGCCATCATATCTTTTGAAATTTCTGTTCATATGATTTGTCATCGTAATTACTGAGTTTTGACGTTTGTCCATGGATTATTGATGAAAGTCTTCTATTTTAAATATTTGCCAATATATTCTTCTAGTCATGGTTTGGTCTTTTCAATCACTTTTCTTGTGAAAAAATTTTAAAATTTTAATGAAGTTGAATTTGTCCATTCTTTCACTGAATATCCTTTTGATCTTGTATACAAGAAATGTTTGCGAAAAAAAGTTTGCCAAATTTAAAGACATAATTTTTCCTGTTTCTTTCTGTAAGTTTTTTTTAGTTTTTTTACTGATGTTTATGTGCCTTTCTCAGTTAATTTTTGGACATTCTTTAAAAAAATACATATATATGGATACCCAGGGGCACCTGGCTGGCTCAGTCAGTAGAGCATGTGACTCTTGATCTCAGGGTCATGAGTTTGGTCCCCACCCTGGGCATACAGATTACTTAAAACAAAACAAAACATGGATACCCAAGAGCTGCTGCCATATTGATTTAAAAGATTATTCCTTCTCCTTTGAATTGGCTTTTGTATCTTCATTGAAGGTCATTCATTTCTCTGAATGTTTATTTCTGGACTCTCTTCTGTTGCATTTATCTATTTTATTCCATACTTTCATGTGTTGAATAATTTGTTTTGAAATCAAGGTCATGTACTCCTACAACTGTCTTCTTTTTCAAAGTTGTAGTGGTCAGTCTCGGTCCTTCACCTTTCCGTATGAATTTTAGAATCTACTTGTCAGATGAACGGATAAAGATGATGTGGTATATATACAATGGAATACTACTCAGCCATCAAAAAACGAAATCTTGCCATTTGCAAAGAACTAGAGGGATGGAACTAGAGGGTATTATGCTAAGCGAAATAAGTCAATTGGAGAAAGACAATTATTATATGATCTCACTCATGTGGAATTTAAGAAACAGAGGATCATAGGGGAAGAGAGGAAAAATAAAACAAGACTAAATCAGAGAGGGAGACAAACCATAAGAGACTCTTAATCATAGGAAACAACCTGAGGGTTGCTGGAGGGGATGGGAGCAGGGGGATGGGATAATTGGTTGATGGACATTAAGGAGGGCACATTATGTAATGAGCACTAGGTATTATATAAGACTGATGAATCACTGACCTCTACCTTTGAAACCAGTAATACATTATATGTTAATTGGCTGAATTTAAATTTAAAATACAAATAAAAAATAGAATCCACTTGTCAATTTCTGTATCACAAAAAAGCCTACAAGGATTTTGTTTTGGATTGCATTTATTTTTTTTTAATTTTTTATTGTTATGTTAATCACCATACATTACATCATTAGTTTTTGATGTAGTGTTCCATGATTCATTGTTTTTGCATAACACCCAGTGCTCCATGCAGAACGTGCCCTCTTTAATACCCATCACCATGCCAACCCATCCTCCCACCCCCCTCCCCTCTAGAACCCTGTTTGTTTTTCAGAGTCCTTCGTCTCTTATGGTTCGTCTCCCCCTCCAATTTCCCCTCCTTCATTCTTCCCCTCCTGCTATCTTCTTCTTTTTTTTTTTCTTAACATATAATGTATTATTTGTTTCAGAGGTACAGATCTGTGATTCAACAGTCTTGCACAATTCACAGCGCTCACCATAGCACATACCCTCCCCAGTGTCTATCACCACCCTACCCCTCCCACCCCACCTCCCACTCCAGCAACCCTCAGTTTGTTTCCTGAGATTAAGAATTCCTCATATCAGTGAGGTCATATGATACCTGTCTTTCTCTGATTGACTTATTTTGCTCAGCATAACACCCTCCAGTTCCATCCACGTCGTTGCAAATGGCAAGATCTCATTCCTTTTGATGGCTGCATAATATTCCATTGTATATATATATACCACATCCCCTTTATCCATTCATCTGTCACTGGGCATCTTGGCTCTTTCCACAGTTTGGCTATTGTGGACATTGCTGCTATAAACACCGGGGTGCATGTACCCCTTCGGATCCCTACATTTGTATCTTTGGGGTAAATACCCAGTAGTGCAATTGCTGGATCATATGGTAGCTCTATCTTCAACTTTTTGAGGAACCTCCATACTGTTTTCCAGAGTGGTTGCACCAGCTTGCATTCCCACCAACAGTGTAGGAGGGTTCCCCTTTCTCCGCTGGATTGCATTTAATCTTCAATTTAGAAGGAATACTGAGTGTCCCAATCCATAAACATGATCTGTCTCCTTTTATTTAGATTTTATTGAAATTTTGTTCACAATTTTTTTTTAAAGTTTTTTTTTTTTTTTTTTTTGACAGAGAGCGAGAGCAGGAACACAAGCAGGGGGAGTGGGAGAGGGAGAAGCAGGCCTGCGGAGCAGGAAGCCCGATGCGGGGCTCGATCCCAGGACCCTGGGATCATGACCTGAGCCGAAGGCAGACGCTTAACGACTGAGCCACCCAGGCGCCCCTTTTTTTAAGATTTTATTTCTTTTATTTTTTTTTAAAGATTTTTTATTTTTGTTTATTTGACAGAGACAGCCAAAGAGGGAACACAAGCAAGGGGAGTGGGAGAGGGAGAAGCAGGCTTCCCGCAGAGCAGGGAGCCCAATGTGGGGCTCGATCCCAGGACGCTGGGATCATGACCTGAGCCGAAGGCAGACGCTTAATGACTGAGCCACCCAGGTGCCCTAAGATTTTATTTTTAAGTCATCTGTATACCCAATGTGGGTCTTGAATCCACAACCCTGAGATTAAGAGTCAAATGCTCCACCTACTGAGCCAGCCAGGTGCCCCTCTTAGCAATGTGTTTTAGTTTTCTTTTTATAGCCCTCACATATCTTACATATCTCCAAGTATTTTCTGCATCTGATGATATGACAAATGGTAGTTTTTACATCAAATTTCAATTTGCCAATTGTTCGGTCTTGTTACACTGAAAGAGATATTAAACTAAGAATAGAAGAAATCCTCCTTAATCTTATGAATGATGTCTACAAAGAAACTCTTACAAATATTATATCTTATTATTCATTATTAAAATTTTCCCATGATATTAAAACAAAGGGCAGATAACTGCTCCTTTCTCTTTTTCAGTTGTTCTGGAGTTCCAGTTTCATTCAGTAAGGCAAGATGATGGATATGTAATAGTTGACAAGGAAAAAATAAACCATCTAAAATATTTCCTGTGTTGTCGTCTTCACTATGAGTCCAAATATAGATACCCAGTTTACTGCCTCAACCCATCCCAAACTCCTAATTTCTTCATTACCCATTCGCTGTTCTTTTCTTAGGACACATCACCTTCTATTACACTATGCAACTTAATATAATTTATGAATTGCATATTGCCTTTTCCATCAACTATGGAGTAAGTTCCAGGAGGGAAATTTCTTTATACATTTTGTGCACTGATACATTCCACGTTCCTAGAAATTTGTCTGAAACACATGAGGTACATAATTGATGTGTTTTTTAAAAAGATTTATTTATTTTAGAGAGAGAGCGGGGGTGGGGGGAGGGTCAGAGGGAGAAAGAGAAACCCAAGCAGACTCTGTGCTCAGCACAGAGCCCAATGCACGGCTTGATTTCATGAACCTGAGATCATGACCTGAGCTGAAAACGAGTCGGAGGCTTAACTGAGTATACAACCCAGGCGCCCCCAAAATTGATGTTTTAAAATGTTGAACAAAATGACAAAGCCTATTTAACGTTTATTTGCCCAGCTCTGGATATACTTTCTAACTCCACCCACAGTGTCTTTTCCTTCAGTTTCACTAACCTCAATGTTTTCAGGAATGGCAAGAAATCCCATTTTGCAAAAAACCTTCAAATTCTCTGAAAAGCCCCAATAAGCATTTGGTTGGCTTACGTCCCTCACTTATTAGATCTCAGATTCCTTTCCTCACAGTCTGTTGGGATTTTGATTGTTTATTTCAAAAGCAAGTTTTCCCCTTTCAGTTTGTGCCACTCCTGATGGATATCTTACTAAGCACTTTTAGTAGCTTTCATTGGTTTGCTCAGTCTGAAATATTTTTCAGTTAATATTTACTCCTCATGCAGACACTGTCACTGCACTTATAGGTGAAATGATAATGATTTCCCAGCAAGCAGATGAGACCATGGAATTCCAGAACTTTGTCTTGGTGTATATGTCCCCGTTGCACAGATGCTGCCATGGCAGTCCCTGTCCTGGGAGCAAACACAATTTGCGAAGTAGCTCTTCTTTTCAGGTATCCGATTCTTAGAAAATGTTGATCTCAGGAAACCCAGGATTAACTATTCTTTTTTTTTTTTTTAAAGATTTTATTTATTTATTTGACCACAGAGAGAGAGAGAGCGAGAGCAGGAACACAGGCAGGGGGAGTGGGAGAGGGAGAAGCAGGCTTCCCGTGGAGCAGGGAGAAGTTTCTTGTTCTGTGTCCCTGACTTTTCTATTTTTTTCATTTTCAGTATAAAATGGTACTACACATTGTCTTAATTTCCCTTGACTTTTTACTTACTTTTATAATTCTGATATTTTATAATTAGGAAATGTTAGGAACATTATGAAAATATTTATATTGGAGTTATGTTAAATAATGTATATTGTAAAAATATGTTTACATATATTATCTTGTGCTATACTTTGTCTCTGCTGTTATTTACTTCTGATCTTCATAGTTTAATAGTTTTAACTTTTGCTTCCATTTTCCTTAAAATTACCTCATTTTAATGTTATTTTTGCCAAATTTTAATTAGTAGGCTTATTTTTTTTTTTAAGATTTTATTTATTTATTTGAGAGAGAGCACATGAGAGGGGGTAGGGTCAGAGGGAGAAGCAGACTCCCCGCTGAGCAGGGAGCCCGATGCGGGACTCGATCCCGGGACTCCAGGATCATGACCTGAGCCGAAGGCAGTCGCTTAACCAACTGAGCCACCCAGGCACCCAGTAGGCTTATTTTTGAAATTTATCAATACCAACTGATTTTGCCAAAACATGGTAAGTAAAGGACTTTAAGATACTTTGCAGGAATTTTTGTGTTGTATATAGCTCTTGGATTCTTTAATTGAAATATTTAATGTGAAAATGGGCAAGTTACATGCAGTTGTAAGAATTGTTACAGAGAGATCTGTGTATGCTTTACCCAGTTTCTCCAATGGTAACATTTTCCAAGACCATATTATAATATCACAACAATGAAATTGTCATTGATATATCTACTGATCTCATACAGATTCCTCTAGTTGTACACAGTGTGTGTGTGTGTGTGTGTGTTTGTGTGTGTTTGTGTGTTCATTCTGGAGCATAGATTTTTACTTAAGAATATATTCTGGAGGAAAAAAAAGAATATATTCTGGAGGAGAGTCCACAGATTCAGTTGTGCTGTCATGGAATGTATGTGTTCCTGAAAACCACCAAGCTATGCAAAATCCAAAATAAAAATCACAGGGCTTATTGAGATCCTCAAAATGTAATCAGTAAAACATAAAAAAAGAAGATAGAATCCCAATAAATGCCGTAGCACAATTTTACACCTGTTAAAAGTTTGAGAAACACAATGTAATAAGTACAGCATTTAACCTTAAAAGCCTGAAATTTGTTTGTGGAAGTGGGTGTCAGAGGGTTGCAGTTGTGAGTTATTTTATGAAGTAATGGAAGGAAGGTTACTTAAAATCAGTTGCCTAAAATTCACCCACCAGAAGTGAATGGGTTTGGCTCATAATACATGGTGAATTGGCATAGCCAGTAGATGTTTGACTTCTGTCCTTATGTGTGGCCGGTGGCTTGAAGGGAATAAGCAGCAAGCCGTCCCTGTAGGAGGAAAGTTCATAGGGTTGGGCCAAGACATGGTCATGTTTGTCCTTTAAACCTATTGCAAGAATCGAGATTTTAATTTGTAAAGAAGCATGTATTGAAAGGTTTGGAAAGGGAAGTGACATGATTTTACTTGGGAAAGATTAGTCATTCTGGCTACTATTTAAAGATTAGACCATAAATTAACAAGTAAAGTAGGGAGATCATTGAGAGACAACTATAATAAATCAGGGGTGAGGAGATGGTAGCCGGATCAGCTATTAACATATTTAGTAGGGAGATACAGATTTTTTTGTCCTTTGAAAGTAAGTAGCACATGATTTCCTCACAAATGCTATGAGGGACAAGGGAGAACATGGTTAAGGGTGGCCTCCAGGTTGGTGTTCTGAGGACCTAGGATAATGGAGCTGTTATGAACCAAGATGGTGACTACTGGAGACAGCAGATTCAAGCCCATCTGGACATGCTGAGTAGGTGAATAGAGGTATGGGTTAGTTCCTGGAGGAAGTGTGATATATAGACATAAATTTTGGAGTCCTAAGTACAGAGAGAATGTCATCAGACACGAGCCTGGTTGAGGTTCCCCCACTGTAGTGAGTGTACATAGAAAAGAAGTGAGATCAGACACCTGAGTCTCATTTGTGCTCACATTTGTGCTCCTATTCCTCCTATCCTGTCCCCCTTGCCCTTTTCCGGCTACTTGATCTCCTTCCACCTCACCAAGCTTTTTCTCATCTCTTTTTGGCACTTTATCTACCTTTGTGTTGGATTGTTTTAACCTGGCTCTCCCCGTGAGTGACTAGTCCTTAGTGTCAACTTGGTTATCACCTGCACAAAGTGGCTGCCCACACCTAGAATACAGAAAGGAGCTCTTTTTCCCCTCCTTTCAGTTTAAACAGTTACTCAACTCCTTCCTCAATTTAATTTTTATTCCCTTCTAATCCTCCCTTTCCTCTCCCTCATAAGTTTTATTGATACATCTAGAGCAATAAGAGAACAAGAAGCATACATTTTATGAGGTCATTGGCCATAGTAGTGAGTTGTGCCATTATCATTTTGTAAAAAGAACTGAATATATTTCGGGATATGGAGTAAGAAATAGGCTATGGATAAAACAGTACTGCTCACTGGGTTGGATACAATCACTGATAATTTAGGCAGGAAAGATATTTCCTGAGGGAACCGGAGCCTGGTTTACCCTTGTCCACTTGCTTTAGAGTGTCCAACATCCATTCCTCCTCTATTTTCATTGCCATGACCCTATCCGGAGGCTTCTCTACTGCCCCTGACCTAAAATTCTGAAACTAACAAAACTGACTCCAAAGTTTCGGGGTACCTGCATTTGAAAAGCAATAGCATGATGATTATTAGCTTCCAGCTACGGAGCGAACGCGTTTTGTACCGAGTAACGATGGAATGATATGTCCATTTGGATCTGTGTCCTTTTGAGGGCATCTGAAATAATATTTTTGGCCTCTGAAGCAAGCTCGGCTTCGTGGAGTCTGAAATAACATGTTTCTAAACACTTTGGCGATCTGTTGCAGCAGCGTACCCAGAAGTGTGGGTGCTGATCTTCCCTAAGGAGGCAAGCTCCAGTCTCTCTCCGGCGAGGCCATTTCCTGGCCATCCTCGCGGTGCTGCCTGACTTACCTGGGAGGTAGGTGTGGGTTCATCGTTCGCAGAGTCTGCAGAGCTGTGGGAACTACATTACCCAGAATGCTCTGTCCGAGCGCCTCGCGGCGCTGAGCCAATGAAGGCTCAGGGGAGGGCCCTTCTGTGCTAGCACGTCATATTGGGGCGGGACTTCCGGCGTCCTCTTGTTGGCGGTCATTTTGGCTTTTCAGGGCTTACGGTGGTTTGGGGATGCTGCCGTAGACCTGGTTTGGGAGTGAGCTGACGGGGTCAGAGAAGGGTCGAGAGGAGGCGCTGTCCCCACCGCGCAGATTTGGGTCCACGGCTCGGGGACGCCGCCCAGACTGCCCGCGCCGGGGCCGGGACGGGGACCGCCGGCCCGGGCGCCCGCTCCGCCACAGGGTCCGATGGCGGCGGCCGCGCGCAGGGACCCGGCTCCGGTAAGCGTCGTCCCCGCACCCAGACCCCCGCGGCCCAGGCCCCGGCGTCCGGGACAGGCGGGCGGCGGCGGGCGGGGGCCCCGTGCGGGAGCGGGCTCCGGGCCGAGGGCGGCCGGGGCCGAGGCTGCAGGGGCGCTGGAGGGAGGCTGCAGGGGGCCTGAGGCGGGAGGAGTCTGCCCTCGGGGGACAGCGCGTGAGGGGGGTCACGCCCGGACTGCGGACCGAGGTGCCGAACCTTCAGGTGAGGACTCTAGGCGCCGAGGGCACTTTGGCCGAAGGAGAGACGCGATCCCCTTGAGGGTTTCAAGTTTCCCAAAGGTTGCTGGGAAGGAGAATAGACTGGAGGGGGTTGATGAGGACCGTGAGGTGCCGGCAGGTGACGTTCCTGTGCAAGGTCACACCCGGGTCAGAGTCCTCTCTGAGGCACAAAGGTTGCACAGTCAGCGGAGGTCACCTGGCTCCAGGGCCGGGCGGGAATACAGGGAGATCGGAGCCCATGGGGCCTGGCCGTGCTTGCCGTCCTCTGGGGCCCGCCTCTTTTCACGGGTTTCACGAGGCCAGCCCGGGTCAGGGGAGGGTCTCTCTCAGCTCCTTACTGGTCCTGACCCCTCCCAAGTGGTTTCTGGGATTAAGGGGTCTTGGGGCTCTGTCTGCCACTCTCCCAGCCCTGGTGCCTGGGAGACCTTGGAGAAAGTCCAGGCACAGAGTCCTGAGTCTAGGCTGAGGGTTATATGGAGGCGTTCTTGTTTCTGGCAACCCGCTGAAAGAGGTGCGGAAGGTTATCCGAGGAACAGGGACCGTGTGTGCAAATGCTTGGAGGCAGCTGGGAGTGTCAAGGGAGCTGAAGATTTCCCTTTTTTTCCTCGTGGAAACAAGGGGACAGGAGCAGGGCTGGAATGGCTGCCCTTGGGGTCGGTTGTCAATTCTGGACGTACTAGGTTTGATTAAGAGCAAAGTGATCTTACCGAGGTTCTAACAGGCCTCGTATGGCTGCACAGTGGAGAATGGACTCTGGGATAAGGGAGGGAGAAGGATGACCAGGAAGGAGGCTGCTGTAATAGGCCAGGTGAGTGTTGTTGGATGTCAATGGTGGCCATCGAGGTGGGAGAAGTGGCTGGATCCTGGACTCTTTTTTTTTTTTTTTAAAGTAGGGCCAACCAGACTTTTTGATGTGGAAGGTGAAGGACAGAAAGGAAGGAGTTGGGGATAACCCCAAAGGTTTTGGTCTTAACAGCTGGAAGGACGGAAGTTCCATCAACTGAGATGGGATAGTCAGTAATGGGTACAGTTTTCCGTGGGGTATCAGGAGGTTTGTTTCAGCCATGCTAAGCCTGAGACGTTTCAGAGACTATTGAGTGGAGGCATTAAGTGGGCAGTTGTACACACAGTCTGGTAGGGAGGGGGTTTCAGGATGGAGCCATCCCAAAGGTGATTGCCGCAGTGTCAACCAGGGTGGAGCTGTGGGTTGCGTTGAGGGAAGGGAATCTTCAGGTCCTGGTGGTAATACTGTTAGCAGTCCAAGAAGAAGATGGTGTGGCCCAAGAATGGGGCCTCTGGCTTGGACACCTGGTTGAGGGTGGAGGGTATTGGGTACACAGGTGGAGGAGAAAAGTGGCTGGCAGGGAAGTGTGGGTAGGAGGATGATCTGGCAGGTAACCAAGGTTTCCAAGGGAAAAGTGGATGTGGGAGGAATGTGGAGGCACAGGAGTAATTGAGGCAGGATGATGTTCCCCAGGACTTTGTGGTGACCCTTGGGTAGGGCATGAGATGTTTCGGTCAGGATGGTAGGTTATGTCAGAGTCCACTGTGGTCATCTGTGGGTTATTAGGCCTGGGATAGGGAACCAGTGGGGCTGAGTTCTGAATGAGGTTTAGCTGTGACTGGAGATGTTTCGGTCAGGATGGTAGGTTATTTCAGAGTCCACTGTGGTCATCTGTGGGTTATTAGGCCTGGGATAGGGAACCAGTGGGGCTGAGTTCTGAATGAGGTTTAGCTGTGACTGGAGAGGACAGGAAGGGCAGCACAGAAGTTGAAGAGGGCCAGAGATATCTGAGATGTGCATGTGGTTCTGGTCGGTGAGGCTGAAGCGAAGAACAGAGCCAGCTTTCTCTCTAGGAAGGGGAGGCTTTCCTAGCAGGATTCTGGAGTGCCCTTGGAGTGGAAGGCATTGGAGGTCTGGATAATACTGGATTCCATTTGAGTTTGCCAAGCAAGCACTGTCAGTCTAGGGAGATGCCTGTGTGTGGGGCTAGGGGGTCGTGGTGGTGGTGGAGAGAGCGCCTCTGTGGGCTCCAGAGATGTAAAAGGTACAGTCTGTACATCACAAGTGCAGTGATGTGCACGTGGAGAGGGACTGTGAACTAACGGCCCCAGGGTCCTGGTGTTGGGGACTTAAGGTTGAAGGGAGAGCCCAAATTTGGTTGAGTCTGGGACACTTAGTCTGGAGGACTGCAAGGGTATTGCTTAGCAGGAGCGTTGGGGCCCTATGTGCCAGGCCCAGAGTTTAGGTGGCGTTTATCTGATGACGTGCCGTTGTTGCTGAGGATTGTACACAGTGAATAATGGGACCATGAGGAGAGACCAGCAGTGGTGCCAATGGGGTGATTTTTGTGGGCGAAGGGATTATAGGTCCTTAGGACAGGGGCTCTTTGGGGTTTCATCTGTCTCTGTCCTGACAGGACAGTGTGACATTTGAAGATGTGGCCGTGTCCTTCTCCTGGGAGGAATGGGGGCTCCTTGATGAGGCTCAGAGACGCCTGTACCTGAATGTGATGCTGGAGAACTTGGCACTTGTGACCGCCCTGGGTAAGGCCCTCATTCCCTCCCCAGGGACCTGGGCTTTCTGCTTTTATCCCAGGGATAGCTCCCTATTTCTCCCATCACAAACATGGGCATTGCTTCCTTCCCCAGTTCCCTGGTTAGTTGTAGTCCTTAGGGCTAGTTGAGTGCACTGCACCAAAGCCTCACTGGGAAGGTATTCAGGGTCAGAAGTCTTGCAGTTATGCTAATGGCTTCCACCTTGCTTGCCCTTCAGCTGTCTGGCTGACTCTGTCCAAGTCCACTGCACCTCTCTGCCCCAGGTTTTGCCCCCTTCCTATAGGTGATGACATTTTTCTGTCCCTGCCTGCTCCAGGAATTGTAGTCACTGACATGGTCAGTACTTACGTGGACTACAGGCAGTTCTTACAGGATCCTCCTCTGAGGATTTTTTTGTAATAGAAGTTTTCTTTCCTCTGGTCTGTTATGTGTTAAGTTGCTCTGGGCCACTGCTGGTCACTCATCTGTCCCACCTTTCCCTTAGAACTTGCATCGTGCATGTCCCATTTAGTTCCCGAACCAGGGGATATGGAGGAGAGTCCTGGGTGCTTCCCAGGATGAACATGACTCCAGCCACAGCAAGGTGGGCTCAGAGGAGCCCTGGCCCTGAGAAGTGTTAGGTAGGAGAGAACTCTGTGTTCAGATGATACCAGAAACCTGTCCTATTCCACTGGTGGCCATTGGCCACCTCGTTTCTTTTTTTTTTTTTTTTAAGATTTTATTTATTTATTTGACAGAGAGAGACACAGCAAGAGAGGGAACACAAGCAGGGGGAGTGGGAGAGGAAGAAGCAGGCTTCCTGCGGAGCAGAGAGCCCGATGTGGGGCTCGATCCCAGGAGCCTGGGATCATGACCTAAGCTGAAGGCAAACACTTAACGACTGAGCCACCTAGGCGCCCTGGCCACCTCGTTTCTACTTTTACTTCCCCATTCTTGACCCTTGCTAACTTGTCATTTCTGCTCTGAATTTGGTTCATTCCCACCTCTCTGGACTCCACATGTCACCAGTTCCTCTTATTGCTTCCTCTGTAGTGCTTTCTCACATCGCCCTACACATTTTGTATCATGAAGTGTGTACATATCCTCACATAGTTCTTTTTTTTTTTTTTAAGATTTTATTTATTTATTAGTGCACGAGCAGGGAGAGGGGCCAAGGGGCAGAGGAAGAGGGAGAAGCAGACTCCCCGCTGAGCAGGGAGCCCTATGCGGGACTCCATCGCAGGATCCTGTGATCATGACCTGAGCTGAAGACAGATGCTTAACCGACTGAGCCACCCAGGCGCCCCTACTCACATAGTTCTTAAACACCAGCTCTCTTACACTTGGATCTTCCTGAGCTTAGATACACCTTTCTGCAGTTGTCAGCAAGGATTTGCTGGAGCCTGCTGCCCCTCTTTGTGCCACATCCCATCCTTGTGTTCTTCACCTGGAGAGGCCACCCTCACTGTCTGACCTGTAGAGGCCCAGTACTAAACAGCAGCAGCTTCTTTTTTTTTTTAAGATTTTATTTATTTGAGAGAGAGAGCAAGTGCACAAGTGGGCGGAGAGGCAGAAGGAGAAGCAGACTCCTCGCTGAGCGGGAAGCCTGACTGAACCATCCAGGTGCCCCACAGCAGCAGCTTCTTTACCCTGACCCCAGCTCCTTCATCCTGGAAACAATGCCATCAGCACATTCCTTGGTGTGTTGGGCACACATTTGTGATGGTGTTGCCTCTTCCCACTACTGCCTATGTCTACTTCACTGGAATTTCTCTGCTTTCAGGTTGCTGGCATGGAGCAGAGGATGGGAAGGCACCTTCAGAGCAGGCTGCTTCTATAGGAGTGTCACAGGTCAGGACTCACCATGCAGGCCCATATCCCCAGAAGGCACACCTCTGTGGGATATGTTGTCTGGTCTTAAAAGACATTTTGGGTGTGGCTCTGCATCAGAGAACACGTCCCCAGTTGAGATCTTACACATGTAGGAAACAAGTCTGTTTCACTGCAAACCTTCGCCAGCATGGGAAGCAGCACAGTGGAGAGAAACTGTTGAAATGGGCTTCATTTGTGAAGAGCTGCAGGTCCCATGTGTCAGGGAAGTCCTTTACCAGTGGGGAGGTTGATAAGGATTTCCTCGCTAGTTCAGGCCAGCACCAGCACCAGGCCACTCATAATGGGCAGAAACCACACGGTTGCACCGTGTGTGGGGAAGCTGTTCACAGTGGGAAGAGCCGTTGCAGTTGGTGTGAATGCAGGAAAACCTTTAGCCACAAACACACTCTTGCTCAACACCTGCGTGTCCGCACTGGAGAAAGGCCTTATGAGTGCAGTGAATGTGGGAAATCCTTCACCCGAAGGTTTAACCTCTTTCAGCATCAGAAAGTCCACACCGGAGAAAGGCCCTATAATTGCAATGAATGTGGGAAATTCTTCACCCACATCTCCAGTTTCATTCAACACCAGAGAATTCACACTGGGGCAAAACCTTATAAATGCAGCAGATGTGGGAAATTATTTGGCCAGAGCTCCAGCCTTATTGTACACAAGAGAGTTCACACTGGAGAAAAGCCTTATGAGTGCAGTGAATGTGGGAAATCCTTTAGCCAAAGTTCCAGTCTCATTAAACATCAGAGAGTTCACACTGGAGTGAGGCCTTACGAGTGCAGTGAATGTGGGAAATGTTTTGGTGACACCTCCAGCCTCATTAAACACCGTAGAGTTCACACTGGAGAGAAACCTTATGAGTGCAGGGAATGTGGGAAATTTTTTAGCCAAAGTTCTGGCCTCATTCAACACCAGAGAGTTCACAGTGGACAAAGACCTTATGAGTGTAAGATATGTGGGAAATCCTTTACCCGAAACTCTGACCTCATTCAACACAAAAGGGTTCACACTGGAGAGAGGCCTCATGAGTGCAGGGAATGTGGAGAATTCTTCAGTGACACCCAGTTTGCTCAACACCAAAAAATTCACATCAGAAAAAGGTCTCATGAGTGCAACAAATGTGCAAAAGCTTTCAGCCGAAGGTCTAACCTCATTAGACACCAGAAAGTTTACCACCACACAGAAAGGCCATATATGTGCAGCAAATGTGGGAAAGCCTTCAGTCAGTGGTCTGCTGTGATTCAGCACCAGAAAGTTCACAATGCAGATCGGCTTTATGAGTGCAGTGAATGTGGGAAAGCCTTTAGCCGAAGGTGTAACCTCATCCGACACAAAAAAGTCCACACTGGAGAGAGACCTCATGAGTGCAGTGAATGTGGGAAAGCCTTCAGCCGGAAGTCTCACCTCATTGGGCACCAGAAAGTTCACACAGCAAAGCCATAGCCATGCAAGGAGCAGGCTTTCTACATGTTTGATACAATGACATTGGAGGAGAGCCTTTGTGAGGGAGACGTCTTCCTGAAGTTGAACTCATACATCTGAATATACACCACAGGGAAGATTCCCTGTAAGTTCCAGGTACGTGGGAAGCTTCTAGGAACCATATTGTGCTTCCTAACCGGCTTGGGGTCCTTGCTGAAATTGTGTGACTGCCAGTTTTCGTAGTATAAGTCAGCGCTACTGCCTAGAAAGGCCCCCATGGTATGCATCAGTTATCCCACTGTTTAGGGAAGTAGATCTCTGTGTTCTGTCTGGAGAAAAGAATGAGCAACCTGAGCCTTTAGAGTAACATCATTCCCTTTTCTCTGATTAATGTGTATACCTGACCCAGTTTTCTCCCAAAAGACCTTATCTGGGTTCTACTGGTGGCTTGCAGAGAAGATTTGTCTTCAGGGACACTGGTTTCATATGACACTTGTGATGGATTTTTCCAGTCTCCATGTCACCAACCCATAAACTGCCTGCCTGACCTTGCTATGACTTGTGCAATAATAAAGGCCTTATTGTTTAAGCCACCTTTAATCTTGGGGGTTGTATTCACTAACTGGTTGCTTTGAAAACATCATGAAGGGGTAAATGGCTTGTGTGACAGTTCCCAACTTTGGTGTGCCTCCAAGGGCAACAGGCTTTGTACAACTAATATGCAGCCTGGAAGCCAAGATTTTTTTGTGGGCCCAAAGGTCACATTGAGGAGCGGGCACTTGTGACCATCCCCAGTGTTTCTGGGATTGGTTCCTTTGTTTATAGTGCGTATCATGTAATGACCACACAGCTAAGGGGACTTTCTTCCCCAGGTCCTTCAGAAGAGTCACGTGCCCTGATGCCCAGAATTTGGTAGGGTAGTGTCACTGGTTTTAACACTAAAGGACTCATAGTTGGTGGGAATCATAATTCCCGGGGGGCGGAAATCATAATTGGTGAGAAACATTGGGTTGATAGGGAATGCTGGAGCCTGCAATAAAGTAGATGGAACATCCCTCTTCTGAAAGTGCACCCACAGCTATTTCAGTGTCTCTGGCTGTGTTGAGTGAGTATGTACCTCCTGGCCTGTGTATCTTGAATAGCTGAGGTCATTGGCAGAGAGAAATTAAGGTTTTGTGGATTCCTGTTGCTTTCTGGGCTGTTGACCTTAAGACTGCACATGCAGGAAAACAAGGATATAGAGAAGGGAGATCTCTTAGTCCAGCGGTATGGCCTTTGTGACTAAGGTGGAAACATCCTCCATTGTTCACCAATATTTGCTATCACTGAGGTAAGGCATCCCTCCCAAAACATTAGGAGAGAGGTGATAGAGATAATAGAGGGTTGCCAGATTTGATTTTTTTTTTATAAGGAGTGGGAGAGATTCTTTTATTTTGAACCATTGCTTAAAGCTTTAAGTTATAATGACGTACAGTAAACTGCACATATTTAAAGTGTATAGTTTGATAAGATTTGACAGTATAATCCACAAAATCGTCATAATTGTGATAATGAGCATATAAGTCCCCCACATATTTACCTCATAATTTTTATTAATCTCTCTCCCTGCCCTCTCTGGCTGTCTGGACAAACTTGGATTTACTTTCCTTTACAGTAGACTACATTTTCTAGAATTTTATATGATTGGAATCATAAAGCATTTATTTTTTTCTGGTTTCATATATACTGCATAATTACCTTGAGATTTTAAAGATTTTATTTTTTTGAGAGAGAGAGAATGAGAGAGAGCACATGAGAGGGGGGAGGGTCAGAGGGAGAAGCAGACTCCCTGCCGAGCAGGGAGCCCGATGCGGGACTCGATCCCGGGACTCCAGGATCATGACCTGAGCCGAAGGCAGTCGCTTAACCAACTGAGCCACCCAGGTGCCCATACCTTGAGATTTTAAAAAGTTCATTCCTTTCATTGCTGAGTCGTATTCTGTTATATGGATATACCACTATTTATATGGATATACCACTATTTGTTTTTCCATATATCTGTTCCTTGGCATCTGGGTTTGCAGGTTTTGATGATTACAAATAAAACTTCTGTGAAGATTCACATATAAATCTTTATACGGATACATGTTTCATTTTTCTTGTGTTAATACGTCTGAGTGCAATGCTTGAATCATAGGGTAGGTGAATGTTTAACTTTTTAAGAAATTACCAAACTGATCTGAAATGGTTATTTTTTATATTTCCTACCAGTGGTATATGAGAGTTTCACTACCTTCCTGGTTCCTGTGAGACATTGGAATTTCCACTTAACTCCTCCCTCATAGGGTCCATCTGCAAGGATATAAAACCACTCACAGCCAGGCTTGAATAGCTCTTCAGCAACTGAGTCCCACTGCACATGTTGCCTGTAATCTGGTCCCTTTGGTTTGGTGGTGTCCTATGTGACAGGCATAGCAGGAGGTGACAGAATGTTTGCTGACTTTCTTGTGCTATCTGTGTAAGGAATAATCTTTCTCAGTCCATTTGGGCTTGTGGTTTCCTTACCAGCCATACCTATGGCAGATTGGCAAGCAAAACCTAGCAGCTGCTGCTGCATAAAGTTTGCTTGGCTGCTTGACACCACACCTTTCATTACCATGACTTTCTGGTTTCTTCATATCTAGTAAAGAAGTCACCTTTTGGCTTTCTCTTTCAAAGTTACCTGTAAGCAAAACCATTGTAAAAGGGGCTATGTATAACACTGGAGAAACATCTTTTGTAACAGACTAATATATCTATTAAATAAAGTGTAATAGTTATTTTCAAAGTGAGGACGTTAGTAATATAGTACAATATAAAAGTTGTGATAATGTGGAAATATTGGACATTGAATACAGTGGTTTCATAAAGTACACAATAAGGAGAAATAAATTTCTATACAACTAAAATTAAAAATATCAGGGGCTCCTGGCTGGCTGTCAGTAGAGCATGCAGCTCTTGATCTCTGGGTCATGAGTTCAAGCCCCACGTTGGGTATAGAGCTTACTTAAAAAAAAAAAAAAGATTTCTCTCAGATGGAGAAAATCTTAAAGCAGTCAGAAAGGGGTAAAGCCAATGGAAATTTTAAAGGAAAGCTAAAAATCTAAAACATTAAAGAAGAAGCAGACATATATCTAGATAATACAATGCAAAGAAGGAAAAATTACAGAGGGGGCATGTTTAGAACAGGGAAACACGTGCTGCCTAGACCCATTGTAATAAGGAACATCAAGGACAGGAGAAAGTTATACACATGTACAGTGAGAGAGAGGAACCAAGGTCAGCTTGAGCCCATTCCTTTTCACAATTCGTGAGTACAAGTGTACCATGAAATAAAAGCTTTTATTTGTATATGTGCTGCCGAAGCGAGCACTGAAATAAAAGCTTTTAAAGTATTGAAGTAAGGGTACCTGGGTGGCTCAGTTGGTTAAGCGACTGCCTTCGGCTCAGGTCATGATCCTGGAGTCCCTGGATCGAGTCCCGCCTCAGGCTCCCTGTTCGGCGGGGAGTCTGCTTCTCCCTCTGACCCTCCCTCTCATGCTCTCTGTCTCTCATTCTCTCTGTCAAATAAATAAATAAAATCTTTTAAAAAAAAGTATTGAAGTAAAAATTATGTATACCAAGAATATCCTCAGCCAGCCAACAGACACATGAAAAGATGCTCAACATCACTAATCATCAGAGAAATGTGAATCAAAACCACAATGAGTATCACCTCACACCTGTCATAATGGTTAAAATAAAAAACACGGAAAGAAAGTATTGGCAAGGATGTGGAGGAAAAGGGAACCGTTATGCCCTGTTGGTGAGAATGCAAACTGGTTCAGCCATTGTGGAAAACAGTTTGAAGATTCCTCAAAAAATTAAAAATAGAATTACCATATGATCCAGTAATTCCACTACTGAATATTTACCCAAAGAATACAAAAACAGTAATTTGAAAAGATACATGCACCCTGTTTATTGTGGCATTATTTACAATAGCTAAGATACGGAAACAACCCAAGTGTCTAGATGAATGGATAAAGATGTGTGTGTGTGTGTGTATGAAAATGTACACATACTGGAATATTACTCAGCCATAAAAAAGAATGAATTCGTCCCATTTGCAACAGCATGGATGTATCTAGAGGGTATAATGTTAGGTGAAATAAGTCAGAGAAAGACAAATATGATTTCACTCACGTGGAATTTAAGAAACAAAAAAAGACAGACGTTTAAGTATAGAGAACAGACTGGTGGTTACCAGAGGGGAGGTGGGTGAGGGATGGGTGAAATAGGTGATGGGGATTAAGAGTACAGTTGTGAGCACTGAGTAATGTGTAGAATTGTTGAATCACTATATTGTACACCTGAAACTATTATAACACTGTACCTTAATTATACTGGAATTAAAATAAATTAATTGAAAATTTTTTTAATTTAAAAAGGAAAGAATGGGCTAAGTAGTAAATAAGCAGAAATTTTTAAAAAATACATCCTCAACCAATATGCCGTTTGAAAGAAAAAGCAATAGAAATATTTGTGGGCATATTAAACCTTGGAATTTATTTTTCCAAACTGGGAATTTACCACAATGACTGTCTTAAAAACAAATATTCAGACAAGACAAACAAGCAGGGTGGTGAAATAGGGCTGGCATGTAAGGATAATCCATATCTTGATAATGTTTTTTTATTATCTAAAAGAAAAAATAATTTTGTACACATAACACAGTTTAAAAGTAAATTCTGGTCCCCCCTAACTCAAGTTTGACCTACAGCCACCGGGAGAAGATGGTGGTCCCAGCAGTGTCCGGGCTGTCCCAGCAGGTGCGATGCTTTAGTATGACTGTCGTCAGGCTGTTTTCCAAGCTCGTGCGGCCACCTGTTCAGGTATATGGTATCGAAGGTCGCTATGCCACTGCTCTTTATTCTGCTGCATCTAAACAGAATAAACTGGAACAAGTAGAGAAAGAATTGTTGAGAGTATCACAAATCTTGAAGGAACCCAAAATGGCTGCTTCCATTATGAATCCCTATATAAAGCGTTCAGTGAAAATGAAAAACCTAAATGACGTGAGCACAAGAGAGGTTCTCTCCTATCACATCCAACCTGATCAATTTGCTTGCTGAGAATGGTCGCTTGGACACTACCCCTGGAGTCATTTCTGCCTTTTCGACCATGATGAGCGTCCACTGTGGAGAAGTACCGTGCACAGTGACCACTGCATCTCCTTTAGATGAAGCCACTCTTACTGGATTAAAAACAGTCCTGAAGAGCTTCCTAAGTAAAGGCCAAGTCTTGAATTTGGAAGTTAAGACTGACCCGTCAATCATGGGTGGAATGATTGTCCGTATTGGAGAGAGAGATGCTGATATGTCTGCAAAAACCAAGATTCAGAAGCTCAGCAGGGCCATGCGGGAAGTTTTCTGAAAGTGTTGATTTTGTCAGTGAAAATTCCTAAACTTGGAGCAACAATAAAATGCTTCCTGAACAGAAAAAAAAAAAGTAAATTCTGGTATAGTTGGTAGTTTTAAGAGAAAAAGTCTTCTGAGTGCTGAAATACTTTCAAGTTTTCATTTTTCTGATTTTTGTTACTGTTGTTGAACTTGACAATGGGTTTTTAAAACTCAGAATTCACAGAAAAATAAGGCACATTTGGAAGATAAGGAGAAAAAAAGATAAGGTGGATTGTTCTTTCAGAAGCTAGGACCTGTTATAAAACTAGAAATGACGACAATTTGGTATTAGATATTTGCACAGAGCTACACGTACAGATCAGTGGAGACCATGTAGAGCTTAGAAGGAGATCCATATACATCTGGACATCCACACCTAGTGTGGAAGGAAACTGCTGCTCCAAAGAAGTATGTTCTGATGTGCATCAGAACACATGAACACACACTTTTACAGCTGCATTGTTGTTATTGCAACACCTGAAAGCAATACAAAGGTCCATCAGTGTAGAATAGAGATAGATTATGAAATGGTGCCCTCAGCAGCAATGAAAGTGGATGATACAGACACATTGAACAGCATGGGTGAATTTTACTGACATTCACTGGGCAAAAGAAGTAAGATCAAACAAATACATAGCATATGATTCCATTCATATAAATGTCAATGATATACAGAGCCAAACTAGTTTAGGATTTATGCATAGTAAGGAAAACTATCAAGAAAATCCAAAAGATGCTGACTTTAAAATTCTGGCTGTTGACCCCGATGTTTATAGCAGCAATGTCCACAATAGCCAAACTGTGGAAAGAGCCAAGATGTCCATCGACAGATGAATGGATAAAGAAGATGTGGTATATATATACACAATGGAATATTATGCAGCCATCAAAAGGAATGAGATCTTGCCATTTGCAACGACGTGGATGGAACTGGAGGGTATTATGTTGAGCGAAATAAGTCAATCAGAGAAAGACATGTATCATATGACCTCACTGATATGAGGAATTCTTAATCGCAGGAAACAAACTGAGGGTTGCTGGAGTGGGGAGTGGGGGGTGGGGTGGGAGGGATGGGGTGACTGGATGATAGACACTGGGGAGGGTATGTGCTATGGTGAGCGCTGTGAATTGTGCAAGACTTGAATCTCAGATCTGTACCTCTGAAACAAATAATGCAATATATGTTAAGAAAAAAAAAAAGAAGGTAGCAGGAGGAGAAGAATGAAGGGGGGGAAATTGGAGGGGTAGACGAACCATGAGAGACGATGGACTCTGAAAAACAAACTGAGGGTTCTAGAGGGGAGGGGGGTGGGAGGATGGGTTAGCCTGGTGGTGGGTATTGAGGAGGGCACGTTCTGCATGGAGCACTGGGTGTTATGCACAAACAATGAATCATGGAACACTACATCTAAAACTAATGATGTAATGTATGGGGATTAACATAAGAATAAGAAAATTAAAAAAAAAATCTGGCTGTTGGATTACTATTGGAGGAGGTGCAGACTGTGTCTGGGATGGAGTACTTGACATGGCAGGGCACTACTAGCGTTCTTTGTATTTCCCTCAGTGGCAGATACAGAGGCATCTATTTTAGGAACATTTGTTAAATTCTAAATATATATAAATTCCCTGTACTAATGTTATATATAACAATAAGAGTATAAAGAAAAATGGGATGAACATAAGTGTGGTCCTTAAGTGATAGCACCAAAAAACAATAAAATGAAAGAATTTAATGGCCTGGTAGCCACTCAACAGGCAGGTGATGCTGAGGGAAACTCCTCTGCCCAATCTGTATACATAAAAGACAACTTTACATCCAATGTTATCCAGGACGTATTTCCATCCAAAAGCTGCCATGGTCTGAGGGATCCCTTTGGAGAAAAGCACCAAGGAGTTGGCTAAGACCAGTTGGTTGAGAATCAGGTCTTTGGATTTCAACTTATGTCCAGTGAACAAAGTGAAGTTATAAAGACCAAAGAGGAAGGAATTTCCCAGGATCCCCACTCCTGTCTGAATGAGGAAGATAATCCCCATTTCCAAGTTGAAAGAGCCCATCACATCAATATCAAGTGGAAATTGTTCTTTTTCTTTTTTAAGTGGAAATTGGCTTTAATTGGAGTTGAAGATCTGGAGGAAATCCAAAATATATGTATTACTATCTTCATGTTTCCTGTAGGGCTTTTCATTAACCGCATTTTTTCCCACATAAAGGACATTCAGAATATGTCCTTAAAAGCAAATAAAAGGGGGTGCCTGGGTGGCTCAGTTGGTTAAGCGTCCAACTCTTGATTTTGGCTCAGGTCATGATCTCAGGGTCATGAGATCAAGCCCCACCTCATGAAGCTTGCTTAAGATTCTCCCTCCCCCTTTGCCCCTCCTCCCTACTCTCCCCCCCCCACCAGAAAAAATAAAAAAGCAAACAAAAGGATCAGAGAGAGGTTTTCTAAAGGAGATTTTACTAAGTAGTTGTAAATAATTCAAAATGTTTCTCCAAGGATGTGTACTAATTGACAACAACCCTTAGTCCTTGGGTTATTGAAGGAGGGAGTTGTGGGGTATTTAGACATAAACTTTCATGTTAACTTTATAGGCAGGTGGATTTGTTCGAAATGTTTAGATACAATTGTGATTTTTATAACAGCAGTTAAAATTGAAAAATAATTTTAAGAAAAAGTAGAATATACATATGAACTTTATCAAAGAAGAATTTTAAACCAAGGGAAATTTCCAGAAATAATTTTGAAAAGAAAACAAAATGAATTCAATTCTCCAACAAAGATGTCATTTTATGTGGAGTGAGAATTTATACAGTTTCTGTAAATCAGAGACAACTTTGAGGAGTCTCTGACTCCTTAACAGCTGTGATCACTGGTCACTCCTATGCTCAAAGTGTAATCATTCAAGGGCAAAAAAAAGGGACTCATTTTATTCCCTTAATCAAAAGGGAATGGTGGCCATAGGCATGTTTAGGGGCTAAATTATGTGCACTGTGCTCTCAGAGAAAGAATATTGAAATATCCATCATTATGCTACTTGGGTAGAACTTTATTTATTTATTTATTTATTTTATTATGTTAGTCACCATAAAATACATCATTAGTTTTTTTTTTAAGATTAACTTTATTGCTTTATTTAATCCATCATATCCAAAATATTAGTATTTCAACATGTAAATAACTTTAACAATGACATACTCTATTGGTATTGTCTTCAAAGCTCAGTGTTTTTGATTCTCAATTTGGGTATTAAATTTCCATGAGAAAGGGTTGACCTGTATTTAAAATTTACAGTTGAGGGGCGCCTGGGTGGCTCAGTTGGTTAAGCGACTGCCTTCGGCTCACATCATGATCCTGGAGTCCCGGGATCGAGTCCCGCATCGGGCTCCCTGCTCGGCAGGGAGTCTGCTTCTCCCTCTGACCCTCCCCCCTCTCATGTGCTCTCTCTCTCAAATAAATAAATAAAATCTTTAAAATAAATAAATAAATAAATAAATAATAAAATTTACAGTTGAAACAAGACTCATATACCATACTGAAGAGTTTTCTAAACTGTGCATCAAGTTAATTTCCTCTAAGTTAAATATAACTAAAAATTAACCCCAGTTGGGCCAACTGCATTTCCCGTGCTCTATAAACTGTGGCTAGTGACTACGTACTGGGCAGCAGGGGTGCAGAGAAGTGATTTGTCCAAGTGGGGTCCCCAGACCCACAGCATCAGCATCAGCTGGGAACTTGCTAGAAGTGCAAGTTTTCAAGGCCCCCCCAGACCCACAGAACCAGAAAACTCTGGGAGGGGGACCCAGCGCCCTTCAGAGGAGCCCTCCACACAATTATGAGGTGAGCACATCATTGGTTTTTGATGTGGTGATCCATGATCCATTGTTTGCGTATAACACCGAGTGCTCCATGCAGTACGTGCCCTCCTTAATTCCCATCACCGGGCTAACCCATCCCCCCTCGCCCCTCCCCTCTAAAACCCTGTTTCTCAGCATCCATAGTCTCTCATGGTTCATCTCTCCCTCCAATCCCCCCCCCTTCAGTTTTCCCTTCCTTCTCCTAATGACCTCCATGCTATTTCTTATGTCCACAAATAAGTGAAACCATGTGATAATTGACTTTCTCTGTGGAGAAAGGGGAACACTTTTA